GCGGGCAGGGCGGCCTCCTGCTCTGCGCCCCGTTTCCCAGGGCCTCCCCAGCCGCAGCATGGCAGCTGAGCGGGCAGGGCGGCCTCCTGCTCTGCACCCCGTTTCCCAGGGCCTCCCCAGCCGCAGCATGGCAGCCTGTCGCCAGGTGCTCCGGCCCCACGTGCCCTGGAGGGCCAGGACGCCTCCTTCTCCCTCGCGTGCCCAGTCCTCACAAGTCCCAGCCAGCTGTCAGCTCTGCTGCCTCCTAGAGGCGAGGCCAGCCCCCCGCAGCCTGGCTGAGGCCTGGTGGGGGTGGGGGTGGGGACAGGTGGAGAATGTGGGTGCCAGGCTGATGCGCGGGTGCTGAGTTACTTACTCAGCCTCGAACTGGTTGGGAGTTATGATGTCTGCCACCGGCACCACTTTCTCTCTGTACACTGGAAGGAGGTCCTCTGGAACGTACTGGAGAGCAGAGGAGAAGGCGGGAAAGGTCACCACACAGGAAGGGCAGAGGAGGCTCGACCCAAAGCACTAGGGACAGATCCCAGCTAGGGTCTGTGGGGACATCTGGGGCAGGCACGGGAGCCCAGGGGTCACCATGGGTCCTGAGGTGGAGATGGGGGAAGGGATGGCACAAGGCCTCACTCAGGCCCGGGCAGAAGGGTGTTTGAGATCAAAGACCTCAGTTCGTGGGTCAAAAGACTGGAAGACAGAGGGAGGGAGGGAGGGAGGGAGGGAGGGCGGCAGCCAGGAAGCAGGGGAAATGGCCGGGACAGAGGGAGCATCCCCGGCCCGGGGTGCTGGGTGCCCATCTGGCTCTAGGAATCTGACTTGCAGGTGACTTCCTCTCTCTACCCAGGTCAGGGCTATGTGTCAATGTGTTCAAGACTGGACGGGAGGAGCAGCTTAGGTGATGAGAACTAGCCTTAAGTGAAAAAGCCACACACGGGCAGGAAGCTCTGAGCTCTAGGACAGCACTAACGTACAAAAAAAAAATCTGGGAAGGTGGCTCAGTGGTAGAGTGCTTGCCTAGCACGCATGAAGCCCTGGGTTCGATTCCTCAGTACCACATACATAGGGGTAGAGCGCTAGCCTTTAGTAAAAACATTAGGGACAGCGCCCAGGCCCTGAGTTCAACCCCCAGGACTGGCAAAAGCCAAAACAAAAATCTGACTTTGGGGGCTGGGGCGGCAGCAGCAGCATGCTTGCCTAGCACTTCAGGGCTCTGGTGTGACCTCCAGCACTGCAAGCGTGAAATCCACGCTTGTCTGGAGGGAAGAGCCAGTCATGCTTTTTCCTAGAGCCCTGAGAGGCAGTGTTTCTGTCACCAGAGTCCAGCACATTATCTCAGGTCCAGACTGGCCTGGGCTCCCAGGACGGGCCTGCAACCACCCTCGCGTGGACAGAGCCTCAGATCTTCAGGGGCTTACGAAAGCATCTGCTTGGGTCAGTTGAGCATGCTGCAGCGAGCAACAGCAAGAAAGGAGGGGTGGGCCTATGAAAAGAGCCTTCCAGCAAACAGGTACCAGAGAAAGTGGATGGAAGCCGGGCGCCGAAGGCTCACGCCTGTCATCCTAGCCCCTCAGGAGGCTGAGATCTGAGGATTGAGGCTCAAAGCCAGCCCTGGCAGGAAAGTCCATGAGACTCTTATCTCCAATAAACCACCAGAAAGCCAGAAGTGGTGCTGTAGCTCAAGTGGTAGAACGCTCTCCTTGAGCTCTTGAAGAGCTCAGGGACAGCGCCCAGGCCCAAAGTTCAAGCCTCACGACTGACAAAAATGAAAAGAACAAAAAGAAAGCGGATGGGAAGGTAGCCTCTGAGTAAGCCAGCCATCTGGCCTGGGCGGGCGTCCACTGTCGCCAGCCTCAGATGCTGACCAAGCAGGCAGAGGGCCCGGGCCTGACCAGCGCTGGGGTACCCCAAGCCCCGCCGCCTTCCACACCCAGGCATTCACAGCGAGCGATCGGACACGTCACACAACACCAATGGAGGCACACGCGAGAGCCGTTTGGGTCTTAAACTTGGAAGGCTGTTCTTGTGAGTTCGTTGTGATTTTCGCATGTCTAAGTAGTCAGGAAGGAAACCATCAGACCAAAGGCGATGTGAAAATGATTGCAAATTCCACGCAGAAATGAGGTTGACACGGTCATACCCACGGACCCACAGTCTGTGTCCATGGCACAGCTGCACACGGCCTGGCGAGGCCGGCCTCCCCCTCCTACCGAGGAGCCGGCCAGCCCCGGCGGGAGCCTGGCCGGCACGCGGGGGAGGGCCCTACTTCCGGGGTCCAGCACAGCTGCGCGTGCGAGTCACGACAGCAGTGACTTACCATGTATCCTTCGCCGCTCCACTTGTCCCCCATCACGGGATCACACACTGCAGAGACACAAGCCTGGTCAGCAGCGGCCCTCCCGCCGACTTCCACGTGATGTGCAGAACAGGCAACAGGAACTTGGCCATTTCAGCCTTTGTTGTTGCCAGTCGTGGGGCATGAACCCTGGGCGCTGTCCCTCAGCTCTTCAGCTCAAGGCGAGCGCTCTACCACCTGAGCCCCAGCGCCGCTTCCGGTTTTCTTGGAGATGAGTCTCATGGAAGCTGGGTGCCGGCGGCTCACGCCTGTAATTCTAGTGACTCAGAGGCTGAGATCTGAGGATTGTGGCAGGAAAGTCTGTGAGACTTTCCAATAAACCACCAGAAAACTGGAAATGGCTCACGTGGTAGAGAGCTAGCTTTGAGCTGAAGAGCTGAGGGACAGTGTTCAGGCCCAGAGTTCAAGCCCCATGACCGAAAAAGTAAGTCTCATGGACTTTCCTGCCTGGGCTGGCTTTGAACTATGATCCTCAGCTCTCGGCCTCCTGAGTAGCTGACAGGTGTGAGCGGCCAGCCCCAGCTCATTTGAGTCTTTCTTATGCGCATGAACCCAGTACTTCTATGCCATATAACCAGCACTACCATTCATAGCCAAACGTCTTCTCCCCAGGCAGAAGCTCTGGCTGGACCGCAGGTGTGAGCCACTGGCTTTGACCACCACATACACAGCAGAGGAAAAATGGCAAGCCATTTTCCTTGTTCTCATTCCCGGCCACATGCATTTCTTTCTCTAAGGTGACTGGTTCTTCTGGTTGCTTTCTGTGGACTTAGCGCTCACGCCTGTGTCTGAAATGGCACGTCCCAGATCGCCCAAGCAAGCCAGGCTGCTCAGGCCTCGCTGAACACACCCCGAAGCCAGGCCTCAGTGTCCACCATGGTGCAAGCACATGCCTTCAGGTGTGAGCCCCCCAGAGGGTGTTTGTCCCCCAAAGGGTGTGAGTCCCGAGGGTGGGCCAGGTGTGAGTCCCCAGAGGGTGGGCAGGGTGATTCCCCCAGAGGGTAGGTTAGGTGTGAGTCCCCAGAAGGTGGGCAGGGTGTGAGTCCCCACAGGGTGGGTCAGGTGTGAGTCCCCCAGAGGGTGGGCCAGGTGTGAGTCCCCACAGGGTGGGTCAGGTGTGAGTCCCCCAGAGGGTGGGCCGGGTGTGAGTCCCCCAGAGGGTGGGCCGGGTGTGAGTCCCTCAGAGGGTGGGCCAGGTGTGAGTCCCCCAGAGGGTGAGTTGGGTGTGAGTCCCCAGAGAGTGGGTCGCATCTGCCATTGGCCAGCAGGCCGGGACTCTGTGCATGCTCAGGAGACCTGTGCCAGGTGAGGGCTGGGTGTGCAGATCTGCCGATGCTGCTCCTGCTCCAGTGCCCCAGAGTTGGCACGTATAGCTAACCCAGACCTGTGCTCCTCCCCACGCTGGCCCTGCCCTAAGGGCCCATGTGGTCAGCATCTGTAGCCTACCTCTCACACACCCATGTGAGCTCCTTGTGGAGCCTGGAAGGCTCCTCCCTGGAGGCCCAGTCAGGGGAGGCGGAGCAGGAAGGTGGGAGGTGACCAGGGATAGGAAGGGGCGGAGCCACCCCTCCTTGGGCTCAGAGTAGTCCAGGACTCACCGTACACCAGCCTGGAGTTCTGCTGCTTCAACTCCCGCACAATGTCCACCACAGTGGCCAGGAAGGACTTGTCCCTTGTGTAACCTTGGGGAGAGAAACGCAGGCATGTTCCAAACGGGTCCTCACCCACCTCCCACCGCCACAGCAGCAACAGCACCAGGCTGCCCAGGTGAGGGACGCAGATGGACAGACACCAGCTGCCAGGGCAGGCCTGCCCAACCAGTCTACAGTTGTGACACGTGACCAGTGGTGATGTTGTAAAGGAATGAACTCACGAGTGACTGGTAAAGGGTCTGTTTTTTCTTTACTTTTTTTTTTTTACTTTACTTTTCCATAGAGATTGTTTTTATCTGGGCGCTGGTGGCTCACACCTGCAGTCCTAGCTACTCAGGAGGCTGAGATCTGAGGATCACTGTTCAAAGCCAGTCTGGGCAGTCTGAGACTTTTTGTTGTTGTTGGTCATAGGGCTTGAACTCTGGGCCTGGGCGCTGTCCCTCAGCTATTCAGCTCAAGGTGAGCACTCTACCACTTGAGCCACAGCACCACTTCCGGTTTTCTGGTGGTTCATTGGAGATAAGAGTCTCATGGCCTTTCCTGCCCAGGCTGGCTTCGAACCACGATCCTTATATCTCAGTCTCCTAAATAGATAGCTAGGATTACAGGCATAAGCTACCGGCGCCTGGCTTCCATGAGACTCTTATTCCACTAAACTACAGGAAAAAGCCAGACAAGAGTTGTGGCTCAAGTGGTAGAGCACTAGCTTGAGCAAAAGCAGCTCAGGAATAACACCCAGGCCCTAGTCCAAGCCCCAGTACTGGAACAAAGAATAAAAACAAAAGTTTTCGGGCTGAGAAGGTGGCTCAGTGGTAGAGCACTTGCCTTGCATGCATGAGGCCCTGGGTTCGATTCCTCAGCACCACATAAGCCGGAAAAAAAAAAGCCAGAAGTGGCGCTGTGGCTCAAGTGGTAGAGCGCTAGCCTTGAGCTGAAGAGCTGAGGGACAACGCCCAGGCCCAGAGTTCAGGCCCCATGGCCAGGCCCCCCCCCAAAAAAAAAAGAATATGCAGCCTGGGCAAGTAAGTCCATGAGACTTTTTTTTTTGGGAGGGGGGGAGTTGTGGGGCTTGAACTTTGGGCCTGGGCGCTGTTCCTCAGCTCTTCAGCTCAAGGTGAGCACTATACTCAAGTCACAGCACAACTTCTGGATTTCAGGTGGTTAATTGGAGATAAGAGTCTCACAGATTTTCCTGCCTGGGCTGGCTTTGAACCATGATCCTCAGATCTCTGCCTCCTAAGTAGCTAGGATGACAGGCGTGAGCCAGCAGCACCCAGCTCATGAGACTCTTATCTCCAATTAACAACTCCAGAAGTGGAGTTGTAGCTCAAGTGGTAGAGTGCTAGTCTTGAGCAAACATGCCCAGGGACAGCACTTAGGCTCTGAGTTCAAGTCTCAGGACACACACACCACAGATTGCACAGAAATATGACAAATGAAACTCATGTGCCAAGTGATAATGGGTCACCCGTCTTGAGCCCTTTCCACCTGCCCCGGAACACCCGTGGTCTAAGCCTGGCACCCTGTGACAGGTCTCCAGACTATCAGGGGTGGCATACACAGCCTCTTCCCACAGGAGGCAGGGACTGGGCACAAATCCAGGGAGGGGGCTCTGAGCCCACCCAGGCTGAGAGGTCTCCTGGGCCTGGGGCCTGGGCCCCTCACCTGTGAGCACGTAGTCATACTTATTCACGTTGTTCAGCTTCAGACCTTCGTACAGATCGTGGAGCTCCTGGGAGTTCAGCACGTGGCCCTTCCAGTGAGCATAGCCTGTCGGGAAAACAGGTCATGCAGGCCTTGTTACGCATGGCCACAGGCTCCCGGAGACACTGCCGCTCCTGAGGCTGGCAGGTGGATGGCTTGCTTCATGGGCTGGCCAAGGCATGCACGAGGTCATTCAGGAATGTGCTTCAGTGGCCCCCAACCTGTCTAAGCAGACCTGCCCTAGGGCGCTGGGGGGACCAGAGGCTTACACCTTCCATGCAACCTCCTGATGGATTAATCCAGTTCAGTGGGTACTCAGCACCTCTGGGGAGCCTGTGTCCTCGGGATGGGACGTGGGGAAGGAGGTCACTGTGCCCCAGCAGGTAGAGCCTCATCCCATCCCTGACCCACCCCCCTCCCCCACAAGTTCATTAACGTGCAGTGACAGCAAGTCACAGATCAAAGCCTGAGCCAGAGAGAAGACCACATGGGGCCAAAAGGCAATGCCTGGAAGCCACACCCGTCCTGGAGTGCGGTGAGCAGATAGACAGTCCTCAGAAATACGCACAACCCACCACTAGTGCTCAAGCCACTTGGCGTGCTGCTTACTTGAATGTAAGCAAATGTTTCTAAAACCCAGGGTTGTAGCCAGGTGCTGGTGCCTCACGCCTGTCATCCTAGCTACTTGGGAGGCTGAGATCTGAGGATCATGGTTCAAAGCCAGCCCAGACAGGAACATCCAGGAAAGTCCATGAGACTCTTATCTCCAATGAACCACCAGAAAACCAGAAGTGGTGCTGTGAAGTGGTAGAGCACTTGCCTTGAGCTGAAGCGCTCAGGGACAGCACCTAGGTCCAGAGATCAAACCTCATGACTGACCAGAAAAAAAGAAAAAGAGAAAAAAACCCATGGTGGCAAAAGACAGCAGTTCTGGTGGCTGCAGGTTCTGCCTCCTGGGACTTCTCATCAGAGCACCCCGAACCCGCACAGGGCCGCCCGCACTCTCCTCGTGTATGCCACGCGTAGCCTCCTCCAAGAAACGCACACATGAGAAACCACTGGAAGGCCGCAGCAGGCTGTGGCTGCTCTCTGATTCCTCGGGTTCGGGAGAATGTCAGGACAGGACAGGGCTGCAGGGAGCTTCAAAGGAACCAGGGGCTTTGCTCTCCTGCCACAGGGGCCTGGCTGCAGCCCACGTGCAGTGGGCTCCACAGGCCGTGGGGCGGGCAGGGGAACCAACCCTCGCCCTGGAAACGCCAGGGCTTCTGAGTCCCTTGCCCTCAGCGCCGAGCAGCAGGTCCTGGGGTCCCCAGGGCCAGACGGTCACACGCAAGCCCCCTCCCCGTGCACTGGTGTCAGGAGCCAGCTGCCAGCTCACCAGGGGATGACTGTGGGGGACTCTCCCAGGCCCACGTGTCACCCTGGGTGTGGCGGGCACGTCACAGGGCTCACCCTGGGATGCAGCTCTGCATCGCCAGCACTCTGTGAGGTCCACCTGCTGACCCCACGACCTTCCACAGGTGTGGGGGTGTCCACTCTGCTTTGCCAAAGAGGAAACGGAGGCAGAGAGTTCCTGACACTTGTCCTGAGTCACACAGCCCCAGAGCAGCGCAGCAGAGATCCACACCCCAGAGTCCACGCCCCACAGGTGACCCAGAGCCACGCACCGCGGCATGCAGCGTGGCGGAGCAAGCACACAAATCCCTGGCTGCCGGCAGCACAGCTCCCAACGCCGTCTCAGTCCTGCCCTGCTGCTGCCCCAAGGCCTTACCTGTGTGGTTTGAAAACTGGACAGAGTTCACCGCATCGATTTCAAATCCCAAAACCTGCAGACAAATGGCAGAGACAGGAGTAAGAGCTCTGATCTGCTGCCCCACAAACTCACTGCAGGTGCCCAGAGATGCCTGGGTACCGGCTGGGGGAGGGGCAGCAGACTCCTCGCCGGTACACTGAAACAGGCCACTGGACACTTGTACTGCCTGGGTGTCCCCCCTGTTCTTTATGTAGGGAGGAACCAGCCCAAGGGGCCATACAGAGCCCTGGCCCAGCTTTCTGGGATTCACTGAGGGCTCATGGATGGTTCTGGAGACCCCACTGAGTCGAAGTGCTCCAGGAAATAACGCCATGATTGTCCAGACTCACTGAGCCAGGCCTCGGGCCATGGATGTTGCAAGCACCACACTGGGCTGCAGCACGCTGCTGGGCAGCAGGTGGCCAGCCCCACCTCCTCCTGGGTCAGCTGGGAGGAAGCCGGCCCCACTCCAGGGCCTGAGGTCTCCCTGGAAACCAGCAGGGCTGCCAAACGGCCTGCCACTGAGCCAGCCTCTCAGTGGCCCTGGTGGGCGGCCGGGGGTGCGGGAGGGCGGGGCTCCGCCGCTGGGGAGCCCCAGCTGCAGCCGTTCACTCAGTGCACAAGGCAGCGGACAGGACGGGATTCAGAGCTACACGGCTGGAGCGTGGCAGCTCTCGCCCCGATCCTCGCGCCCCTCCGTCGGGGGCAGCTGCTCCCACCGCCCCTGGGAGGCTGCGGCCGGCCACTTGCCCTTTCCACCAGGACAGCGTGGTGGGGACTGTAAGGTCCGCCCCTGGATGGCAAGCAGACTCCACCCTCCTCGCAGCAAAGTCTCCACCCAGTACCTGCGTTACCTAGGCAACTGGGACACCTGGAAGAGGTCACATCTGCCTCCGCTGAGGTCACATCTGAATTTGATGTGGCCACACCTTTCCCCGCCCATACCCTACATAAGGCCTAGTCCAGGCCCAGACGCTCTCTTGCTCTTCTTTTCTAGCTCTCTCTCTGCTCCAGCTCTTTCCTCTCTCTTCTCTTTCCCAGCCACGTGGAGTGCAAACCTTGCCTGGTCCCAGCAGGTCTACTGAATAAACCTACCCCTTACCTGAATACCACATGAGTGCTACTGTTCTTACCCCTCTTTCTGCTCTTTTCTAGCTCTTTCCTCTCTTTCCCAGCTCTCTCTCATTCCCAGGCCTTTCCCAGCCACGGGGAGTGCCACCCTTGCCTGGTCCCAGCAGGTCTACTGAATAAACCTACCCTTTACCTGAATACCACGTGCTGGTGCTGTTCTTACTCGGCTAACTCTTTTTAAAAACCTAACAGGGACGAGGCCTGCGAGGCCTGCCACACGGCCCAGGGAGCCACTCCAGCAGCCCCCAGACCCCCACAGCCCACAGCAAAACCTTCAGCCCCGGGTCCCGGGCCTCGTGTGAGGGCCCAAGGTCAGGAGGGCTCTTCGGAAGCCGGAGGGTGGCCCAGCGCGTGGCGCGAGCGCTCGTGCACCCTCAGGAGAACGGAGGACAGCCGGCGATGCAGGAGGGAGTGCGCCCAAGCCCTGGAGGACGCCGTCGCCCCGCACGAGGCCGGGGGCCGTCAGCAGGCTCCCCCAGGATCTGTCCTGACACTGAGCCCAGACCCGCCCCCCGCCGAGAGCCACAGGAAGGCCCCACATGGGACCTGACGTGGGGACCGAGCGCCCTGGCCCCACCGGGGAGACTCGGCGGGGCGGGGCATTCACTGAGGGCTGCCCCGTACACGGCCCGGCCACCTGGACCGGTGTGAACCAGCCAGCCACCTCCCGGGGCCCCCCTCCACTCACGGCTGTCCTGACATCTCGGGCCCAGCGCCATCCTCCCCCGGAGTTGCTGCCACCATCGCCACAGTGACGTCCTGCTCCCGCGTGGGACCCCCACTCCCACCACCTTCCTGGAAGCTGGCCCCTCACCCGGCTCCGTCCCCGCTGGCATCTGCCAGGGAGGACCTCCTTTCTCCATCTGCACTGCTCCCCATTCTGCCAACAGCCATGCCCAAGCCCAACCCTCCCTGGGGGGCGAAGGGTCACCCCTCTGTCCCTGCCTCCCCCCAGCAAGGCCTCAGGTGAACCGACGAAGTTCACTCCACAGCCCGGGCCGTCCAAGGGCAGCAGCACAGAGCTCAACCGTGTGTGACAGGCACGGCGTGCGAGTCAGGGTCCCAGGGTCCAACGGTCACTCACTCCATCCACTGCTGGCCTAGAGAAGACGAGCCCACAGGGCGTGGGGCGGGGAGGAGCTAGAAAGTCTGGTAAGACCAAGGCCAGGACTGCCAGGAGGCAGGAAAGGAACTGAGACCCTCCCCTGAAAACCCGGGACAGGAAGCAAGGAAGCAAGGTGAGAGAGCAAGGAGCTCAGGAAGCAGAAAAGAGGCCTTCACAGCACACAGCTCTGGAGGCCTACCCAGGGGCGGAGAGGAAGTGAGCCACCTCACCCCCACAGCTTCCCAGATGGGGCAGAGAGGCAGAGCAAGACGCGGCAGGGCCGGAGGTCACGGGACAGAGTGAGGCGCAGAAGGAGAGACAGTGGGACGACAAGATGGCATCTGGTATGGCAAGCTGGGCGCCGGCACTCACGCCTGTCATCCTAGCTACTCAGGAGGCTGAGATCTGAGCATCAAGGTTCAAAGCCAGCCTGGGCAGGAAAGTCTGTGAGACACCAAAAAGCCAGAAGTGAAGCTGTGGCTCAGATGGCAGGGCAAGTCTTAAGGAAAATGCACAGACACAGCGCCCGAGGAGCTGAGGCTCAGCCCAGGGCCACCCCACCCCCACGACACACAGACAGACAGACACACACACAGACAGACACACACACACACACACACAAAATCTGGCGTGGTGGCAGGAAGGCAGCTGACCCAGACCTGGTCACATTGGACTCTGCCTCATGGTGGTGTCTACTCTGTGCTACTTCATGGAGCTGTTTGCTTAGGATTTGTGTTCAAAAATGTTACAGCGGTATTATGACCATAGTAACAGAATACAAACTAGCTCTGAAGCCAAATGTGTACAAACGGCTTTTGCCTTATTTCTCCACCCCATACCACTCACAATATCATAAACTCCTTCAACTCCACTCAAGTCTGATGAAACAGGTCTATAAAGCAATGATGGCACAAATCTTGGAAATCCTGCCAAGATATTGTGCTCTGCTCTTTCTGCTTGGGTAGATAATTAATCCTCTGAAACTGGCAAGTGTACCCGAGGAGGAAGTTGCTATTTTCTGCTTTTAAATGATGGCGCAGAGCCTCTGGGCCGGCTTCTCCATTTCAAATCCTGGCTGATTAATAAGTGTCACATGCTAGTTTCAGCATTTCTAGCGTCCACTTATCCACCAAGCTGCATTCGCAAGAAATGGCCGGGCTGAGCTCCGCGGGGGGCCCCTGGGCCCCAGAAGGAGCCTGCTGTCCCTGAACTCTTGTCCCTAGCAAAACCCACACTCCTGTACTCAGTAGCAGGACGGGCTTGTCTGCCCACCAGCAGCTCCCCCAGGGCACCGGCGGGGGGAGTGAACGGAGGAGGGTGGGGGAAGAGAAGGCTCCGGTTGCTCCCAGTCCACTTCTCCCCTGGGAAGAACGCCTCTTCCCCCACCCTGTGCCCTTCTTCAGAGCCCGGGCAGGGATGGGGCC